TCTCTCTCTGTCTGTCTCTCTCTCTCTCTCTCTGTCTCTCTCTGTCTCTCTGTCTCTGTCTGTGTTTCCACATCTTGAGTCTATCTTGGCCCATCTAGGGGCTATCTTCCCATATCTGGGACCTATGTCGGGTCATCTTGCAGCTATGTATATCTGGGACCTATGCTGGGTTATCTGGAGGGCCTCTGTCAGGTCATCTTGGCGCACATTTTCCGCCATTGATGTTGGCGCGCGCCCGACGCCCACGAAATGTCAATGTCGATTGTGCCTGTCCGCGCGGCGTGCATTACCGACACCACCCTTAAAAACACAGTGTTTTTGCATTTCTCCATCTTCGCCGCGGCACATTTTAGTATGCGCGCAAAACCCTGCAAAGCGCAGTGCTTTTTATACCTCGCACACACACACACACACGAAACACTGTAAATTACATGGTGGGAGGTGAGCCGGGGGTGAACCGGGGGTGGGTCGGGGGTGGTCGGCGGCAGGGGGCGTCGCTCCATAACCTTCGGTTTCACCGACCCGACCCCTATTTGGAGCAAGGAAGACAAAGACCGCGGGGTCCCTGCCAGGACGCCAAGCGCGGCGTGCCCACGCTTTGCGTACACGTGCCCTTTCTGCCAACAAGATGTAGAGAGCACAGCAACCACGGGACAGGTCAACCGCAGCCGTATCTGCGGCAAAAAATATTCGTGTGGCCAACGGCGTCGTGGCAGGGCAAAAGCACCGACACGCATGCCCGTGTTGCGGCGCAGCGGTCTTTTCGGTTGTTGCGCGTCGACGCATTCAAAAGAAGCGCAAAATGCCAGCAGGGAAGCCTTGCAAAGGCGAATGCTAGGTGCCGGACCCCTAAACAAAACCTTGTGTGGCCACAGCCGGACACCCTGGCCCGGAGGTCTGAGCGTCGCCGAAGGCTCGCCACAGCAAAGCGCCCTGGCCCTGAGGTCTGAATGTCGTCGAAGGCAGGACCGTTGACAGGCCTAACTTGGCCTTCAGAACTCCATAAGAGAAGAGCAGGCCCTAGGTAGCTGCAGGGGTGCTCCCCAAAAGCTCCCTGGCCCTGGAGGCTGCTAGCTGCCCAACGCAGCGTCTGGCCGGCTGCTCATGGACCACGCCAAAACCTCGGCCAGGACAAGTCCCAGGTAGCTGCAAGCGCGCGAACGTCACCTTCGGAGCTCCCTAAAGACGTCCAAGCTGGAGGCTGCAAAAGCCAGGCCAAAAGGGCGATTGCTCTTGACGTTGCAAGGCGCATCCATTGGCAACGGCTTCCACCCTGCGGTGTCCCAGGCGCCGCCCCGCCTAGGCGTCAGTCAGGGCGGGGTCGGCGGATAGTTGGATTCCAAAAGCCCAGGAAACTTTGAACACGCCATTCCTCCTTAAGAGTGCAGGTGGCAGTATGGGGCCCCCCAACATTCTTGCAAGTCGAAGTCTGATGATTGGCTTCATCAGCCGCAAGCGCGGTGGAAGCTACATAAGTCACGAAAGGTAGCTTGAGCTACCTGAGTTCTCCTTGCTTTAGCAAAAGTGTATTGCAATCAGGAGTTGGGATTGTGCATTGATTTTGGTCCTGTAAGAGATGATTCTGTTCGTCGGGGGGGGGGCCCCCTGGATCAAATCCTCCCTTGCGCCGGTTCACGCCATCATGGACTTCTACCAGGGTTACTTGTGATTGCCTGCTACCTTTCGTTCACCCCTTCTCTCTCAAGTTGGTTCGTTGTTTGTGACTTTGTTTCGCACTTGCTTCCATGCTCTCAGGTTGGCTGCCATTTTTGCAGGGGACAGCAGCAGCGGCATCATCCCAGGTAATCAGGCCATGGGCTTCTTCGGCACATTGATGCTATTTGGCAAAAAATTTGGGTTGAAATAATGAGATAGTAGCCAGGATCCAGGGAAAGGAAGGAACACAGAAAAGAAGACACACAAGATGAAACCTACTGTGTGGACCTCTTGTAGGACACGTTTCTGTCACACTTTTGCTCGACACTCTTCCAAGATTCTGCCTTGACACTTCTGTGGGACACTTTGAACATCCGCCAAAAGTGACACGTGATGCCACGTGACATCTCCAAAACGAGCCTTTCGTGTGAGATTTCCTCCAATAATGGAGCTTGAAGTCTTCAAAGCAAACACTTCATTTAAGACCTTTGCCAAACTAGACACGTCAAGCCTTCAGAGCTAAAGAGCCAATATGTTAAGCTTTCCAGAACATCAAGAGCGGAACAAGAAAGCGCACGGCAAAGGAGTGTGTGTGTACACTTTGAAAGTAATCTGTGGACAACTGATGCCAGTTTCATTTTTTAGCCGGGCGCACAGGCTCATTGTGGATACCTGGGGGAACCGGAGACTGATCACCTCCGTATACCTGCTGATAGTTGTGGTGTTGTAGCTACATTGCTGCAGCGAAGCCAGACGTCACACTTGGACGCGTCACGTTTCTACTACGCTATTTCACATGAATTTGACACAGTGTCCACCCGTCCAAGAGTGCTCAACACCAGCTGTAAACGAAGACCGTTATGATGCAAAAAGAGGTGAAAAGACATGAAAACAAAACATGCTACTGCAACATAGTGCAATGCCTTTGATTTTGCATCTATACGTTTTTAGCATTGGTCACAACCCCGCCAGAGACAGTGGAGTGGTGAGTGGTGTAAAAACATGTTCCAATGTACTATTTACTATTCAGACTGGAAACACTTCACTTTACCTTTGGATTGTAGCAACACGTGACGGTTGGACAATAGCTGGTGACAGTCACCGGGTAGGAATCTCTCCTCATTCTGATTTACTTTGTGGTTTGCGCAAAGGTCAAAACAAGGGATACTTTCGCTGCAGGTCACACCCTTAGGCACTTAGGTTTTGAGTAGTTTTCATGATTGATCGCCATTTTATGGTCACTTTGTGCACTCAATGGACTGGAAAAAACAAAACGGACTGCGTTGCGTTCATCTGAGAATGGCCACATTCTCGGGCGCGATCTGTGGGCAGCTGTTGGGATCTCTACAGGGCTCAGTGGAGTTGGCCTTCAGTGATGAGGTTCGCTGGGCCTGCGCGGAGGACCCGTTTCGTCAAAAGACAATATCGCCTGATTGTAGTCTAGCATTGTTTAGCCCTCGGCCGTTTGTTATGTCACGATGTGTCGCGTGGCAAATGCACAACATTGCAGGCATTCCAGTTGCAATCACAGAGTACTAAACTTGCTGGCCCATGGCCCAAGGCCGCCTGTGGCCCTGTCCAGGACTTGCCTCGGGGTGTGCTAAGCCTTTAGCTCGAGTTGAGTTAATGTACTGCACCTTCTCAAAGAAGGCGGTGCTTTCGGAGCTGAAATTGGTTCCAACGCTGGAAGCGGATACAAGCTGGCCAAAGCAGCAGAAGAGCAACTAGGATCGTTCTCGGTGCATCACAGTTCAGAAGCTCTGAAGATGTTTGCACGGCGTCTTTGGTGCACCTCTGAATCTGAAGTCCTTTAACGTTACGATTCTATGCGATTCTGATTTTGCTGGCACGCGGAGCGCACAGTCAAAGTACTTTATGCCGGGGAAAAGCCGCCCTTTGAGAAGGAGACCAATACCAAATTTGGCCACCCATGCAGTCTGCGCATTTTGCCCCATCCAAGATGCACACGAGCCATTTTGACGTCAAATTTTGTTTCGCCAGACCCAGTTCAGCCTAATTGCTTGCATGGCAACTAGCAATGGCGAAGATGCTCGTGGGCTTCGAGAATGGGTCACTGTTGTTCTCGGTTGCTCCGTAACATTCCTCTTCTCATATTTTTTCTATGGCTGGGCTGCGATGCAAGCTATCTTTGAAGCGGATGGTGTATACAAGGAGGTATGCCCCGACGAGGAGCCCTTGTGCTCAGACCGCGGGAGTCGAATGATCTTCCTCTTCAGCGTGGAAAATACAGTGATCTGTTTTGCAGGCATCTCGAGCAGCACACTGATTCTATTTTTTCCTCTTTGTTACAGGCATCAGTAGGTGTTGGGATGCAGACTTTGATGGTCCAACTTAATCTATTGCTAATATTCGATCTATATATCAATATTGTCAAAACATGATGAGACGGAAACGGAAGTCAACCACCCAGACACTTGAGCACAAATGAGAAGTGTACACGGACCGACTTTCAGGCCCAAGCGAAAAGTGATTTGCGCGCTTCGCATGGTAGCGGAGCCGGGTTGTAAAGTGCCCGGCTCCCTACCGCACGCCACCCGCGCCACGATCCCTGGGCAAAGACCTAGGTCAAGATCCGCTCGCCCGCGGCGAAGTCCACATCGGTGGCGTTCTGGCTGATCGAGCTCCTTCTTTTAGCTGGAATTGCTGGAGGAGCCGGAGATCCTGCCATCCAGGAGATCCACTACCAGAGCCCGAGCGTGGCGCACACAAATAGCAGGTGGAAGGTCAGGTACCTGCACACCATCCTGGTGGGGACACAGGAGCGTGTTGGGAAGCTAAAGTGGGCACGCAGCGACCCTGTGGTGAAGGCCACCCTGACGGTCAGAGAGAAAGATAGGAAGAGAAAGAAGCGATCCAGGGAGCAGAAGCAGCTGATTATCTTGGTCCCAGCTGGCTGGAAGCTCGTCGAAAAGATCGAGAAGCTGAGAGACAACACCGACAAGGAAGTCATCAGCGACCTAGTGGCGAATTGGGACTTCACCCAATTGCTGGACTACTTTGATTTTGAGCCCAACCACTCAGAGAAGACACCTACATTGACTACAAGGACGTTCGGGCCCTACATTTCCTACCTGGCTGCAATGGCTGAGGAGAGCTTGCAGAAGATTTCACAAGCTTCGGAGTCAAAGCTCGACAGCCTGGTCTCGCCATCTAAAGACTCCAGACATCTTCAAGCCTGACACCAGGGACAATGAGCTAAAGCAATGGAGCGATTGGAAGTTTTCCTTTGAGAACTATATGTGTGAAGGGCATCGATCCAGGCATGGCCCATAGCATGAGAATGGTGGACGGAGAATCTGAACTGCAGCTATGAGCTTGATGAGATGACAGATGAAACCAAAGCCTCCTCCATTCGCTTGTACAGCTTGCTCATTTCCTACCTCAGGAACCGTACCCTAAAGCTGACCAGGCACATGAAGCAGGAGAACGGCCATGAAGCTTGGCAACGGCTCCTACGAGAGATGCAACCGGTCACAAGAGCCCGGTCCTTGGCCCTGTTGACTCAGTTGTCTTGGGTGCAATTTGCAGAAGGAAAGTCCATATCCGAGCAACTGCCGCTCTACGAATCCATTGTGAATGAGTACGAGAGGATCTCAGGGCATGACTACGCCGATGATGCCAAAGTGGCCTCCATCCTCCAAGCTGTACCAGAGCCCATTTGCAGCTTTGGATCACTGATTCAACCACCAACAAGGTGATGGAGCTAGAAGCTTTGGCAACGAGGTGGGACAGTTCGAACAGCCTGAGTTTACCCACCAGGTTGGGAATGGATGAGGCAGTTCCCATGGAGGTGGACTACATTCGAGGAGACAAAGGCAAGAAGGGCGGCAAGAGCAAGTCCAAGGACAAAGGAAAGTCCAAAGGGAAGGAGAAAGGAAAGGGCAAGTCAGAAGGAAAGGGCTCATGGAAAAGCGGTGAGAAAGGGAAAAGCCTGTGGGAGAAAGGAGGATTGGGAAAGAAAGGGAAGAGCCAAGAGAAAGGAAAAGCTGGACAGGTCACTGGAGCATGCCACAATTGCGGGAAGGTTGGACACTATGCCAAAGATTGTTGGAGCAGCAAGAGAGTGGCACCAGTTGAGGAGACGAGTGGAGGAGCTTCCTCGTCTACAGGCCAACAGGGACCGCCTACAGTGACGACAACATCCTCCGTCAAGATGGTGAGATCCGCATGCCCACAGCCTCGAGATCTTCGACCTGACTGGAGGCGGCTCAGGATCGGAGGATCATGTATACCCATGGCGTGTGGGCATGGTTGAAATAGAGTACGAGAATGATGTTTAGATGGAAAGCTGCGAGAGTGAGTTCGAGGACTGCATTGAGCCCGTGGACATCCCGGAGGGCATTTGCATTGTGGCCATGGACTTACAAGATGAAGCTGAGGAGCAACTGGTCCAGATGGTGAGGATGGACCAGAATGACATTGAGGAGTGCCTGGTGACACTTGACAGTGGGGCGGACATCTCCGTCCTTCCTGCCCAAGTCCTATGGGAATGTGGGACGCCGGGCGCCGGGCACTGAGTCTTTGAAGATGGTGGACGCGCAGGGAAAGCAAATAGCCCATGATGGAGTTACAAGAGCAAGGCTGCGCGCGACAGATGCAAATAGAAAGAATGTGGAAATGGTGGAGGAGTTCGTCCTTGGGAATGTGAAACATCCAATCCTATGTGCTGGGCGACTTCTCAGAAAAAGTTGGTGCATCGAGAATGAAGGAGGTAGCGTAGCCTGACCCTGCAGCACAAGGAAAGACGTGTTGTGGTTCCGATCAGCGACGAACGGAATTCCGCAATTTGCAGCAAAGATCTATGTGGTCGAGACCATAAAGAATGAGGACAAGCAGCAGGAGGAGACTGCGAGGAAGATGGAGAAGCCTGCAGTGGTGTTGGCGCTCAGAGGATCACTGAGCAGATATGTGAAGGAGTTGGAGCTGGCGCCGGGCTGGCGCAGGCTGGCCAACGGCATTGCAGCCTACAGCGATCCAGTAGCGACAGCCCTCGTGGACCCACGTGGCCAGATCGAAGAGACTTGGAAGTCGAGAATGACTCTAGTCAAAGATGGTGATGGTCTTTGGACGCAAATGGAAAACGTTGAAGACTATGCAGGGCTAGGATCTCAGGCCTATCGCAAGATCGGTTTGGGCGGCCCACAGAGGACAATCACTTTCTTCGCGGCCTCCAAGATGGAAGACTACTGGGAGCAAGATTCAGAAGTTCCTGTTCGTCCACTGCCTGAGGAGAAGATGAGAGAAGTTCAAGGCAGAACAGACTGGTCAGAGGATGACTATGAGAACGAAGATGAACTGGAATTGCAAGTGGATGCAAGGGACATCGAAAAGATGGTGGTTGCTGAGAAGAGAGATGAAGTGGAGCTGGATGAGACGCTCTATACAGAGAAGATGACTGTGAAGGAATTCCAGCTGGCGTGCAAAGAGAGGCAGCTACCTTATAGTGGAAGCAAACGAAGGTTGCTTGACCGCTTGATTGCCTTCAAGGTGAACCTTGAGAACCAAATGAAGCTGTCCATCGCCAGCAAGTTGTTTGAAGAGCAGGAGAGAAGGCCTACAGGTGAAGATGTGAGAGGAGATGAAGGACCCGTGGACAAGGTGAAGGAGCGGTCTGACCAGTTCGGGACGTGCTTAGTGATGGCAGCCTTGGAGACGAAGGCAGTCCACGTTGCGCCAGTGCCCACAAAGGGCACTGCAAGCCTCAAAACTGTCACGGAGGTCATCAGATTCTCCCTCAAGAACAGCTCCATAGACCCCGTTGTCTTCCAGGGGGGCCCCGAGAGAGGGCCGCTCGACAAATACTCAGGTCTGTGCAACAGGTCCGGGCAGTGATGGGGCTGAGCAGTGAAGTGAGGATGACAGGGCCGATGCAAACTGCCTGAGGAGCTTTGCAGAGACGGGAGCAAAGGTGAACATCATGGGGAACATGCGCGTGTATCCCTGGTCTTTCCGCTATGCAGCATTCCTGCTCAACAGATTCCCAATCCTGGAGAAGATTGGAAAGACAAGCTACGAGTTGGCAACAGGCCACGCGTACAGAGGAAAATTTGCACTCTTTGGGGAGTCGGTGATGTTCAAGAAGCTCACCAAGGCCAACGACATCTTCGAGCGTGGAGTATGGGTTGGAAAGCGCAGCTGGAATGATCGCCATGTGGTCCTGACAGCCGCAGGTGCGTTTGAGGCAAGGACCATCAGAAGGCTAGCAGCTGAAGAGGCATTCATTGCCAGTGATCTGGTGATTGTCAAAGGCCTGCCATGGGCATACAGCCCACAAGGGATCCTGATGAAACACGCAGGAGCGGCACAGCGCTACAGGCAACCTACATTGGAGGCTGAGGCAACGGAAGAGGAGCTGAAGGCAGTGCGAGATGCTGTAGCAGCAGGTGTGGTTAGACCAGCACCAGGTCTTCGAGCTCAACCATCCACACCAGGTCTAGCCAGTGGAGCACCTGTGACCCCAGCTGTCATCCCGATGACTCCAAGGGCAGAGAGAAGCCTCGATACAGAGGAGACTGGTCCAGAAGCTAAGAGGCTGGACGACACAACATCGCCAAGGAGGAGTCGTGAGAAGAGGGCAACAGACGAGACATCAAACTCAGGCGATGAGAAGAGGCAGAAGGTGAGTGAGGAGACAAATGTTGTGGACGAGAGCTCAAACTTGGAACCGCCCAGAGGAGTGGTGAGGACAGCAGAGGAAAGTGAAGAAGTCATGGCAAGTGCTTCGCCAAACAAATCGTCTCGCCTGTATCCTCCGCATAACGCAAGAATCCAAGCCATTGAGGCTACAGACCTCATCCCGGACGAGATCAATGAGGAGCTTTTTGCTAGGTATGGAGGAGAAGAAGATGAGGACCCTCCAATCACGTTTGAGGAACACCTGCAACTGCTCGACAGTGAAGCCCGAAAGGTGGAAGTGCAGCGAATGCTGGACATTCCTGCTATGGAGGAGTCTACAAGAGAAGAAGTAGCAGAATGCGGAGGCTACATCATCTCGACCAAGTTCGTCCAGACGTGGAAGCACAGAGTGGAGAAAGGAGGATGGTTTAGGAGAGCGCGACTGGTGGCTCGGCAGTTCAAAGCCAGCGTGGACATCGAACAAACGTTCGCGCCCACGTCGATCATGGTGCTGCCCAAAATGTTGATACACATGATGCTCAACGTCCACAAGGAGTTCTCGGCCATGACGCTCGATGTAAAAGACGCCTTCCTCATGGCGAACCAACCTGAAGAGGAGAGAGCTTTTGTGGAAGTTGAAGGAAAGATCTACAGGCTGGTGAGATGCCTTCCCGGACAGAGATCAGCGGCGTCGCAATGGTTCCAACTCTTTGCGTCCACAGCAAAGGAGCATGGCATGACTCAGGACCTTATGCAACCGACCCTGCTGATGAAAGCCAAGGAGATCTACATCACGGTCTATGTGACGTCTTCATGGTTGGGAAGGAACAGAGCCTTCGAGACTATGTGAAGCATTTGCAGTCAAAAGGATGGAACATTGAGGAGAAAGGTCCTTTCAGAATTGGAGACAAGTTCCACTACCTGAAAAGAGAGTTCAGACTTTGCAGAGACTGCTGCGACATCAGATGTGACTACAAGCAGTACGAAAGTTTGGCAGAAGACACAAATGTGTACAGCAAGGCTTACAGGAAGACTCCAATGGACCAAAGCTTTGCCAAGCAGGATGAATCCCCACAGCTAGAAGGCCAGGACATCACAAAGTTCAGGAGTGTGGTTGGACGCCTCATGTACCTGGCAGGAGAACGACCTGAGATCTTCGTCGACGGCAACCTAATGGAGTCGAGAGTGAGAACCCAGAAGTCAGTGGCTTTGTCTTCAGGAGAGTCAGAGTTTGTGGCAGTGGTAGCTGGATGTTCTGACGGCCTCCTGATTAAGCACCTATGGATGCAGGTGACCGGAGAAGGATGTCAGATGAGAGTCCGGTCGGGTAGCTCAGCAGCGGCAAGGAATTGGCCGAGTGCGTCATTTAGACGCATCCCTCTTGTGGGTCCAGCAAAAGGAGAAGGACAAGGTGCTCACCACAGGAGCCATTCCAACAGAGCTGAACTGTGCAGACATTGGCGCCAAGAACCTGACCCGCAAGAGACTCTTCGGTCTACATGCTGAAGGTGGTGAACGCAGCGCGCGATAGAGTGGGAGAATATGAGTTCAGGGAACTCGAACATGAGGAGAAGATGAAGAGGGCAACGAAGAAGATCCTGAAGGACAAGAACCTCCATGTGGGCATGATCATGCTGCTGTCAAACTTGTACCAGGCTGCTGGAGAGCCTGTGGGAAGCGGCATGCGTGGAGGAGAAACCACACAGACCATTGACTGGACATGGATCGTGTTCGTGGTCTGTGCAGCACTCGGGGCCTTGAGCACGATGAAGTGGCTATGGGACTACACCAAGAACATCTTCCTGGGCATACTATGTGGCAAAAGCCATGGAAACCAAGACCCAGGAAAACGACGCCTACCAGAAAGGAAAGGGAGTCAGCGTAGAGACACAAGCTGACTGGTGTGCAACAGCCCTGGAGCAAAGTGAGAGAGAGAGCTTATGCAGAACAAGCTATTTCAGCTTGATTTGTACATAGAAGAGCTTCAACAAGAGCTGAATCAACTTCGAGAAGAGAAGAACCACCTGCTCCAGGAGCTTAGGATTTCTGAAGCATATGGGTTGAAACTCATGCAACGAGCAACCCGGTACAGGATATGCACTTCAGGAAGCGTGATTCATTTTGAACCCTCATGCCCCTTCTATGTGAAGGGACACTTCCCGTATTGCGTAAAGTGTTTTGGTGGAGGAGCGGTGTCAAAACGATGAGACGGACACGGAAGTCAACCACCCAGACACTTGAGCACAAACGAGAAGTGTACACGGACCGACTTTCAGGCCCAAGCGAAAAGTGATTTGCGCGCTTCGCAAATATTATATTATGTTGCTAGTTGTTCCTGGTATGCCATTGAGGGCTAGCAAAACTAGCAGACCACTCCAGAACAAAAAACACAGGAGAGTTTTCGCGGCGTTCCCATACATATACAATATGTATAGATATAGCAAGTGCTGCACCGCTTCTCTATCTAGCAATGCAACGGCTCATATATGTTGCTCGTCTGTCGCAGGCAGAGCATCTAGTCTTAAGAGATGGAGTCCAGCCAACCGCTGAGGGTGGCCAAAATATTGTTTTTAGCGATTTCGGAGTAGGAGTTGGAGCAAATGAAAAGCAATCTCAGAGTGCAGGATAGGGGACAAGTCAAAAAAAACAGTGAGCGGAATGAGCAGAAAGCGATCCAAAGGTGATGTGATTGAAATATTTGGATGCCAAAAGCAAGAAGAACGCAACAAAAGGTGACCAACATGTGATCAAAAAACAATCCAGAATCGAAACCTAATATATAAACGTCACGTGTCGTTTCGGCAGGCGTTTCGCAATATGTCAGCCAGTATGCTCACTATTTTCTCACTATTTTCTTGCTATTTGCTCATTATTTTCCTGTCCATGTTTTGCTTTCCTATGTCTCCGCAATCACTTTTTGATTGTTTTTTCCACATGTTGCACGAACACCCCAACCTATGTTCACTATTTTCTCGCTGACTTCCTTACTCAGGACCTCGCAAAAAAATAAATCTACATTTCCAGTGGTTGCCTGTCGTCGCAAGTCTTAAATCTAGTCTATTCTAGTTACATACATGTGGAGCGTTTGGAGGCTATTCTTGTTGCCTTTCTTTTGATGGCGGAGGAGATAGAAGACACAGGTGTGCACAGAATGAGAATGTCTTTCCTTAGGGCAGAATGGAGTGGCCCTCCCGATGATCCAACCTCTTCCACCTATTCAAAAACGACCCACGCTTCTGCAAAAATCTCCGGTCAAAATTTTCAAGCAGGGGGTCCCCAAAATAAGGGGACCCCCTGCGATGGGAACCTGGGAAGAGCTTCAAAACCGAAAAGTCGCCTAGGACAGTTTTATTCAAGAACACCCTCATTAAACCATATCAAACATTGAAACAACGCATCAACATCGAATGGTCGTCCTTCCTTAAAATCATGATTTTCCAATATTCTTTTGTCAGGTTTCTATCAGACTAACGACTAAAGTTACAAAAGATTTCGGTGCGCAGTATCGCTGTGGCATGTGGTTTGGAGACCTCGATGGAAAGTGTGTTTGTGTAGCTGTCTGTGCTATTGGGGAAATCATGCACATATGGGTGTGTAAATGTGGCGTACCGCCGACGCGTTTGGTGGTGATTCTAGTGGGTGGGCACCCTTTAAAGAACACTCTGAATAAACTACGCCGGGAGCATTTCTGTAGGAGAAAGTAAAGGCGGTGATTCTAAATCAAAGTGGAGTAAGAAACACAAGACACACTTTAAGTTCTCTATATAGTGTCTTTGGGTTACACCATAATATATGTTATACGGGGCTTTGACAGCTTGACCTTGTCAGCTTTGTGCTAAGGCAAGAGGTCAAGCGCATGATGCCAGGTCTGTTGCTAGAATAGAAGGCCTTTGCGAACCTAGGAAGGGTGCCGACTTGACCCTTGTGCTACAAACAAGACCTGCTTCAGGTACTGTCTTGGGAATTGCTATCGATCACTACGGTCCGGTGGCACTTTGCGTACTGGGGGGCATGCTGCAAGGCGCAGGGCTGTTGCTGATGGGCGTTGGGAATGGTGATCCCAGCACAACTGCAGATACACTCTTTTTTGCGTTTGTCATGAGCGGCATTGGTGGGACAGCATTGGTGCTGCAGTCATTGAAGCTTGCTTTCATTGTTGCACCTCGCCACTTTGCTCTTGTGATGGCCACCGCCAATCTCCGTAGTGCCTTTGGGTTTGTATCAGTTGTATGTGGCTGGACTATCTCGACAGTGGGTTTTCTCAGGCTATGCTGTGTTGTGCTTCCTCTTGAGCATGTGTTTGGCCGCAAGCTGGCACGGAGCGCCTAGTGCCAGACTCAGTGCTGCCAATCGCAAGGAGTCTGCAGCGGCTACCAGCGAAGCAGACGGTCTGTGTCCAAGACTGCACGGCCTAACAGTGAGACAGCAACTGCCAACAATCGAGTTTGCCTTTGCCGTCACGTTCATGGTGACACAGGTCTTTCGAAGCAGTGCATATCTCGGTGTAATCAAATATCTCCTTCAAGGTCTGGGTGATGATGAGAATGTGTACATGCAGATTTTGACCATCTCACTTCCAGCATCACCTCTTTTGGTTTATCTCTTTGACATGAGCTTAAAGAAAGGTGGCTTTGCATTCACATTTTTCGCAGTGCTGCTTCTTGGCTTGACTTGGAATATTACAATGCTGCTTCCAAGCCTTCCTTTGCAAGCGCTTGGTTTTGCAGCTTTCACCAATTTCCGTGGCCTCCTCTTCGCGTCATTCTTCACCTTTGTTGGACATAGCTTCGGAAACCGGACATTTGGCCGGATCAATGCTTTGCTTTGGTTCTGTACCGGGATCCTATCTCTACTTGTCCATCCTTGTGTGGAGATTTCCAAGCAATGGACTCGAGACCTTGTGGCGATGAACATTTTCATGCTGGCATTGTGCCTGGCTTGCACGATGTAGCGTGCAAGTAACCTTGCCAATGGTTTTGGCTAGGCGCATTCATGGTACTGTATTGTATTGTAGTGGTATTATGGCAGAGCGGAATTTCTGTGCAATACCCAAAATTGGCTGGCGTCGGATGAGATGCAGATGATGACACAGCAACTGCAATGTAGTCAGCGCGCCTACTCCTTCGCATCTCCAGCGGTGTGACCCACTGGTCACTAAGAGTGATCCGTTAGTCATAGCTGGTGTTTCTTTTTTGGCAGGGGGGTTTCCCTGCGGGGTTCGTTTGGTTGGTGGTCTTGCCAACCTCCAATTCTTTCTGGTGGCGTCTTTGTGCTTTCCAGCTTCTGTCTGTTGCCTAGGTTCTGTTAGGCTTTGGCAAGTGGATTGCTAGCTGTTTGCTCTTGTTTACCCTGCCCACCCGCACCTGGAGAAATAGGCAGTGTCGACTGTTGTTTCCGGTAATTGTCAGCTTTAAGCTGATGTGGATGCGTCAGCCTTGACTGAGCTGATGTCAGTTCCTTCATGTCAGCTGAGCTGATGACTGTTCCTGCGGGCGGGCGGGATCACGTGCTGTGGGACCCAACCAAAGCTGACTTCGAGGATGATGAGGATGAAGTGCATATCTCCAACAATGCTGTGACGGTGCTGCCTATACTCGTCGGGAACCATTAGGCTGCGTTTGCGACTACCCTTGATGGCCGTATTCGCCTCAAGCGGATTAAGAACTGGAAGACTAAGATTCAGCATTCTGAGCAGCGTGGGCACAGTTTCATTTTTCAGCACCTCAAGAACTCAAGAACACAAGTTGTCATGAACTGCAGGATCGGCAAGGCCAAACCATCACACAACCGGAGGAAGCGATCGGCGCGCTTAACGTGGGATAAGATTTTTGCTTCCAATGTCCTTGCTGACCATCCCCTCAAGATGTTGAAAACTGTGTGGCCCTATATCCTGACTCACTCCAAACCATTCAAAGGAGGAAAGTCCAGGCTGCTCTGGATGGACTGTCAACTCGAAGCCCTGCTAAGTCTTGCTTTGAGGTTTTGGCAATGTTCTTTCAGTCTTTGGAGGAATCCGATGATCCCTTTGCAAAACAAACCGGGCCCTGCCCTCCTTCTCCGATCAACAAACGCCTCATTACTGTTCTCACACCACTTTTGCTCGCTTACACCGGCGCGAGATTCAACCAGTTGCAAGACTGGCAGATTCGAGCCACGCTGCCAGCCATGAAGGGCCGCTATATGGCGACGTTGTGCAATGACCTGCGCCTCGACCTTGACTGTGCTTATCAAAATGAAGACGCAATCATCGCAATCAAGCTGGATAAGTCTAAGGCGTTTGATAGGATAGTTTTTTTCAATTTGCTGCCGGCCTTTTCGTTGCGTTTTGCATCCCGCAACATGTTGTCCGTGCTTCCTTAAGATTTACCAAAACCTGCATAAGCGCATGGCATACCGTAACTGGACACAGGCCACGACTCACGCCAATGGGGTGGTGCAGGGTTGTTCGATGTCAATTCTTGCAATGAATGCCTATAATTTAAGGTATGATTTGATCTACTGGAGCGCTTTCCTGGCATCGTTGTGCGGGCATACACTGACGATAGCTACCTGTGGCGCCGCTTGGCTCACGCGTCTATGCTGCAACAGGCAAGGTTTGGGATCAGCTTGCCGGACAGAAACTTAATGTTGCTAAGTCCAGTATGTGGAGCAATACACACCACGGGCGGTTCCAGCTCAGGGAAAGATTCACTGGTTTGCCAGTTGTCCTTGAATTCGAGCCCCTCGGCGCACGGATGTACACGTCCAATTCAATAGGTGCTCTTTTGGGTTCTCCGACGATGGCGCTTTGAAGAAGGTCTGGAAGAAGGTATTGCCTGACATTGATAATATTGCTGCCCTATCTGTTTCGATGAAGACGTGGTCTTTCCTCATTGGGTCAAAGGTTGTCCCCCGAATCACGCTTGGTTTCCACATCTCTCGTATCCCCAAAGTCAAGCTTGAGATATGCAAAGTGCGAATGCTAAATATATTCGGGGGCACAGGCCTAAGTGGCGATCGAAGTGGCTGGTATACAAGATGCGCTTGCTAATCTACATTGTACCGACCCACGCACTGCCTGTGCATATAACACTGTATTGGAGGTCCTTCGGGCTTTTGACTCGGACAGGAACATTCTCCAAAAACTCGAGAGATGCCTTTTCCCAGGGGTATTGGCTGCGCACTCTTTGTGTAGTCAGTTTCAGTCTGCAAGTGACTTTCTGCAAATACAGATCCAGCTTGTTTGTGAAAACAAAAGCAGCTGTTTGATCTTGCCCAAACCATGACCGTGCTCCGATGGCCCAAAGTGTTGGCAACCGAGGCGATTCGATTGCGGGTGGCTGTACGCTGACCAACGACCGGATGACATGCGCGGGCTGGACAGACAATCCGAAGGGCCGGTTTGCCAGCGTCAAAAAAAGAGCCCATGTTTCACCTGGTACATGAGTGTCCAGGGGTTATCCGTGCAAATGGCGGCCCCGCAGTGCGTGAACTTGGGGACAACTTTGGCCTGTTGGGACATGTGCGTCAGCCCGCATTTATTGCGCGCAGAAGGTTGCTGCAACTTGATGCAAACACGATTCGCCCTTCTGGACCTTTAGACCCACACTCCAGTCGTGATGTTTGGAAAGAGGGGTGTGTAGTGTTTGGTGACACTGTATGGGAAGCAACAGGTGCATATGCCGTGCTAGATGCACAGTGCAATGTCATTCCACAAAGGCCAGGTTAACCACTGGTCATTGTCGGCGTACACGCGCGTGGAAAAGCCCAAACTCGATTGCGCATATTCAGCGACTGCCAAGATGTTGGGCGAGGTTTCTCTTCACAGGGCATCCTGTTGACCCGACGTGGAAGCTTTTCCACTGGTGGCGTTACCTTGCAGAACTCGTTCGTCTGCGGTCCGCAGAGGTTGACTATGCCCATTTTGTATTGAGTGGATACCGGCACGCAAGCTTGAAAAAGTTCCTCTAGCTCTGCTGACGGAGGAATTTTGCTGACGGAGGAATGTGTATTTTTGTTCCACACCACCGTACGGCGCATGGTTCAGAACAGACTTGTAGACGGCGCAGCCAACCTGGCTGGTTGGCCTTCATGGTTTACTGCCCACCAAGGAACCAGCTCTGTCGGCGCCGGTTGAAGTCAGAGAGTTGCCAGATGTGGGATGCGCCAGCGTCCTCCTTCAGATGGAAACCAAAAATACCTGGAGACCACCCTTGCCCTAAAGGGTGGTGAGGGGAGGAAAAAGACTGGTTCACCGTTTGCAAAATTCTACACGAGCTTTGGTGGAGAATGTCGCAAGAGCTTTCCTTTTCCTTTTGCGAGTTGGCTGCCGTTTTCCACTCCAGTGGATACAGGGTCACTGTCGACGCCCAGTTCCTCACGTTTCGTGCGTTGACCAATCTGATCCGGAAAAGTCATACAAATGCTCTCCAAAGACCCGGCAGTTGACGCTTTCCCTGGAATTTTCGATTCAACCAGACCGAGAACATGTGGACGTGTCCTTTGTCGGGGACGCATTGCAAATGCAATTCCATTTGTTGATCCCGAAGAGTATCAGCTTGTGGTGCGTTTGCTTGCGAGGGGCGCACGCCGCACACTTGAAGCTTGGGAGATTCATCTGTGACTTTCAACGCCGTGGAAAAATTTCATGTGGCATTAGTTATGTTATGTTGTGACCAGTGTGTCATGCGTAAGCCAGACAGGTGTCACTGCGATTTTCTTGCGCGAGAGGTGGTATTGTATTGTATGTCTGTATGAATATGTATTTTTCCTAAATTTCAGTCGCAGGAGTCAGTTGCTCCATGTCCTCGTCAGGGAGTTCACGTGGCTTTTGTGTCGACATCACCTCATTGGTGTCACCTTCAGGAGCCAGAGCAGTGGCTGCCTGGGAGTCATTGGGCGGTGCTTCTGCAAGGGTAGGTGTTGGACGAAGAGTCGGCCAGGGATTTGGGCACGTACAGCGCAACGCAAAACTGCCCACGAAACATGTCCGCGTCAGCGAGCAGGTTGAGCATATTTCGCCCACAAGGTTGAAGGATATGGAGACATTACCTGCCCATGTTGATGCTGTTGGAACTTAGTAAATGAGAGCCTTTGAAGTCCAGGGTCCGGGTCTGCCAAAATACAGCCTTGCCCAAACATGGTAGGCAACCCATGCCCCCACCACCAATGTTGAACGATTATGAATTTTTCATCTCAGGTGCTTTCCTGCCCTGTTGATGACCGTGGCGCTTTCATTTCATCTTTGCCGAAATCCTGGTGGAGACATCAACGTGTTGAGCTCCAAGCCAGCTGAAGCAGCTGAAAACACTGCTGCGGCTTGAGCGCAGGCGCAAAGGAAGGGATCTAAGATGATCTGAGGCAATTCACCAAGCTGGCTCGTTTGACACCGCCCCTCCCTTAAAAACTATTATTCTGGGGTCAGGGTACGTCGCAGAACAATTTTCCAGGACCCCTGAAAACGCGTAATTGGGGTCATTGGAGTAATGTTCAATATCAACTTCCACCTACCCCAGAATAATTGACTCTTGGCTCTTGACTTTCAAGTCAAGATTGCAGAAATTTTATATTAGATTGTCAGGACTTAGGCCGTAGGACTCAATTTTCCTAGATAGTTTTTCTTGACGCTTGACTTAATGTCAAGAAATCGTTGCTGAATAGGCTCGCATATTTTTTTGCCAGGGGTTCTTATTTGAGGGCCACTGTTAGCTAGGACAAACACGAGGTAGTGGCTGTCGATTTTCCAACATGATTAGCATGTCACTGTAGCCAAGTGTTTTGTTGTACTGCCTTACTTACCGCTCGTTCGGTGTGATCAGCAGAAAAAAGGTACGCGCGTGTGAATTGTTTGACTCTCTTGCAATGCTGCAATCCTTTGTTCGTTTGGCTGGTGGCAGGCTCAGCAACCGGTGTCTGGAGTGCTTTCTTCAACTCCCAGTCTTTCCATGTTCTTAGGTTTGCTGAGGCAGGGGAAACCAGGCAGGTTTAAAAACTTGCCAGCTATCTCTGGCAAGTCAGAGAGAGTTTTACAATCACTGCACGAATACTAACGGTTTCAAGCAAGAAAACCACATTTCTACACTGAGATAGAGTCTTTGGCTTGATCACGAGGCCTTCAATCTTGTTTGATAGCCGGACGATAAGATCATCGTCCTGTCTCATACATGTATATTTGAGGGGTTGCATTTTCTCGTCTCCGGAATTTCATTCCCGAGAGACCATTATTGTATATATATATACATGTTTTGGCTTGGTCGATAACATGATCATTATCGATGTCCTCGCCCTCCTGCATACATCTTCTTAAACCAGTATTCAAAGCTCGAACACTTGGATGCAAAAACTTGGACCCAAAGCCAACACCCTTATCTGGCGTTTATATATTCCAGTCAGCTATGCTGTCGACGTTTGGGTCCACTTTTGATGTATTTAGGGACTCAGGCAGACACACGCGCTCCTTTTCACACTCAGCATTGTTGAGCCATTAAAATTGAATTCGTTTTTCTTTTTATTTTTTTTCTAGTGTTTTTCTTTCAGTTTTGTTTTTATGTTATTTATTTATTTATTAATTATATTTTTTCTTATCATATTTTTTCCGCTTCGTCATGCACATCTTTGCGTGCTTTGCAAAGTGGAATGCTTACGTTGATCAGCTCCTCCCACTCTTGATCCATCAATTCCTCTGCCATTTCTGCAAAGACTTTTGCCTCATGACCCGGCAATTCTCTTTCCAAAAGTTGCAGAGTCTCTCGCAAGCAGGTGTTTGTATGATTTTCTTGCCGTACGACAAGGCCAGAAGTCGTGTCAAGGTAGAGCCTTGCTCTCCTTTTGCCACCTCTGGAAATTGGTTCTTGATGACAGATATCCTTAGCTCGACCATTGTCATCATCGCTTGAACCCATCTGGAGTCGAACGAAGACTTGTTAGACACTTGGAAGGAAAAACAAAACACTATCAGTGAAGAGTTCAAATCAACTTTCAGTTTACTTTTCACACCCAAGCGCTTCTCTTCATATCTTCATATCTTGTGCATTCCACCTGGCAAAGCACGCAGAGAGGATTAAGATGTTTTTTTCATGAAGCTCTGAGTTTTAGCCGGAGGCGAATCAAGGCTGCTTCAGAAATATGCCCAGGCGTTTCAAATCACTATGTTGAGCAGGATAAGCTGTGCGGGGTAAAGGTAAATTGATCCGTCGACTACCACCTTCAGATTGGCACTTTTCAACCACATGAAACACTACCAGATGGGTCTAAGCTGACTGTAACAGGCACCGCTACAAAGGCTGTCGGTGTTGTTGTCGGTGCCAACGCTCCGCAAAACAACAAAGTGGATCTTTTGTCTTGCTTCTCACATGTCTCACAACAACTTCATCCTCAGCAAATTTGATTGAATTGAAACGAGTACAAACAATCAAATAACAACATAAAGACCTGCTTTGTTTCATTTTCGTTGGGCAAAGTTGAGGGCCGGTAAGTAAGCGCATGAAGCTTCCAAAGCAGTGCTGAAAAGGATCGAAATATAGGCAAACATTCATGTCCACTGTTAGCTTGTCTTTGTACACGAGGCTGTCAGTCATCAATCCACCCACCCAAGCTGCTCCAATTGCTCCAAAACGTTGCAGCTCAAAGCTTGCATGGACTATGGACGCCACTGATCTGAATTCAGCTGGCTTCACGCCTTCCTGATTCTGTTTGCTTCACATCTGCGAATGGTGCGTAATGATTGACCTACACTAACACTTGGTATCCCAACTGAGCCGGCGCAACACAAATCAATGAAAAGAGTTCTGGTGCAACAGAAGGTGAGAAACGTAGAACCTGGGACTACTGGCCTGTCGCGCAAAGGTCCTTGGCCGCATGCGCCACGTTGGACTTGAATAACTGCCTTTTCACCAAAGACGTGCATCCTTGACTGAGGACACTTGCCCCCCTGAACGCCAGTGAAATCTCTTTCGATGAGCTCAACCTTGTGAGTGCACACATTGTGGAAAAAGACATGCTCTTCGCCGACTCCAGACGAAGCCTTGACCAAAGATTCTTTACAACCAACGCACCAAGCCTTTTTTGTTTGTTGGTGTTTGTTGGTTGATTTGGTTGTGTGTTGATCAATTCATAGGTTAAGTGATGCATTGTTGAAATTGAGTCTGAGTTTGGGCTCTCAAATCCTTCGGGTCCCGTTTGCTTCTCTCGTGTTCGTCATGTTGACCTCCATTCAGCATCTCTCTCTCAATACAGGTGGTGTCCTCCCACAGGCGGTCCAAAGCAGATTGGCTTCCGACACGTCCTTGCTCAACATTCCACTCCAGTGGCCATCGCCCAAGCTACGGTGGATGTGCACCGTGTCACAAGCTTGAGGAAAGGCTCTGCGTTTGCCGGAGTTTGCTGACAGGTACACCTCGGACATGTTCAAGCGGCGCATTGCCTCGGGATCCTGGAGCACATCAAAGATGTGTGAGGCTTGCAGCGCCCAGCCACGGTTCGCCCAATCAACCATCAATTGCTTAACCAGATCCTGGGGTCATGGCCGACAACACAGTGCCGCTGCTCAATGTTATTTTGTTTGGATCTGTCCCCTTAACCTAGCCGGTTTTTCCACAGCCCAAACTTTCACTGACAATACTGCAAATACAAATGCCTATTCAAACCGGGAATCATTCGGAACAATCTCCAGAGCGGATCGAGTCTTACAGAGCTGCTTGATGTTGTGAAATTAGCTGCCCCTTTGGCTTATCCTGCTTGCTCTGTCTTTTTGGTCGTCATGGTCTAGCTCATCAGCCTCATGCTGAGCGACATCATTTTCATTCATCCTTCTTTGGTTGGGTTGGTAGGAGCAGTTCCTGTGAATAATTCCGGAGAGTCCAATAATCAGGCGCTTATGTTGTGGACTGACCTCCCCCGAAGCCAAGCATATCGTGAAGTATGACACTGGAAGACTTCACAAGACAGGCTTCTTTGCTGAATGGCTCAACTACGAACCAACTAAGGTTCTGACAAACAGATAAACAAAGATTCACATGACCCAAGAAAGGACGTGGGCCAAGGCATGGTAAACTTGCCACCATCACACGCCAAGCCACTTTGCCGAAACTCTATAATTGATGTTCTGGAAATAGAGACTACAAGGATCCTTATGATTTCCCCTCCCCCACTTGCAGCTCTGTGGGGCATGATCTTGGACTTTTCACCCGGAGTCATCTTTCCAGTCATGATGTAATATTTTTCAATCAAGCACACACCTTCAAAATTGGACAAGCTTGCCTGAGAGAGTTCTGACCTCATGAAGCCTTGCCTCATGACGGATGCGAGCGCTGGCTTGCCGCTTCCTGTGGGGATGCCAAGAACATTGGTAAGAGCATTGGTCTTGCTTTTATTGGAACAGGTCATTCTCCGTTGAATTCTGCACCCGTTGCTTGACAAGCACATGGTTTTAAGGGAGCTTGACGCTCAAGGCATTTGGCCCAAGAAACAGAGCTGTAAATTTGGATGTCGATTGCGCCTGAGAAAATGGAGGAGGGCCAGAAGCTCTCGAACTTCTCATGGGAGTCTGTGAGCATGAATGTCAAAGTGGGCAAGCAGGACAAGAAAATCCTTGATGGAAGCTGGGAACTGAAATTCTTGTTTGTGTTTGCTAGGTCAACGATATCTGAAGCAAGCATTTGCCAAGCATGCAAATTCACAACATAGTCAAGAAGCCCTTTAAACTAAGGAATCAGTGGCACCTTGCGTGGTGGAGAAGTTTGCGCTTTGATGGGTCCATCCGGTGCGGGAAAGACGTCACTGCTTAACGTTTTGGCAGGGCGTGTGCGGTCTCGAGGAAATGTGAAGGTAGATGGTAGCATTTTGCTTGACAATTTACCTATTAGCGGCTCTGCCTTGAGAAAGCGCATTGCCTACGTGATGCAACAGGACATTCTGACTCCGACACAGACTGTGCGAGAGTCTCTGTGGTTCTCAGCTAATTTGCGACTTCCCAAGTCCTACTCGCGAAAGGAGAAAGAAGAACTTGTCGGCTTGGCCTTGCTCAGCAAAACTTGTTTCAGTTTTTTGTGCTTAGAGCGTTCAATCACCCCACCACCCTTTTTTGGGAGATTTCAGGCAGCATTGACTTTGTATTGGCTGCACCACCGAAAGGTTTCATGCTTAGCAAAGATGCTTTGCATCAAACGCAGAGACCCCATCTTTGCAGGTGGAGAAGACCTTGAAAGAATTGGGTTTGGAGAAATGTGCAGACACCTATATTGGAGATGACATGATTCGCGGTGTATCAGGTGAGCGGCTTTCAGTTCCGGCGTTGTGCTTCCATGGTTTTCAAGACTTATGTTATAGTTTAATTGTAACCGTATGTTGAACATTGATGTCAATATTTGATTGGAAGACTATCGAATATCCTTGATTCCACCTGAGGCGGAGAAAAGAAGAGGACCTGCGTTGGCATTGAGCTCATTATGAAGCCCAAGTTGATCTTCTTAGATGAACCAACTTCGGGTTTGGACTCTTATGCCGCCCATAATGTTGTGATGAGGCTGAAAGACATGGCTGCTCATGATGGTTGCAATGTGCTTTGCACTATCCACCAGCCTTCCTCAGAAGTCTTTCATCAGTTCAACAGCGTCATGGTCCTGCGATCTGGAAAGCGCTTCTACTTCGGACCTTTGTCGGGCCTTTCCACCTCCCTCCATGCAGCTGGGAAGGGATGCCCCAATGAGTTCAACTTGGCAGATCATGTGATGTTTGTGCTGCAAACTGAATCTAGCGAGGCCTTGGATAAGATCGAGATGCAAATGCAGGAAGCTACACCAGCTAGCCAGCATCCTGAGATGCCTCATGACAAGAGCGTCATGACCATGAAATTGGAAGGTGCTCACGCAGGATTCTTCACACAGTTGGCAGCCCTCACCAAGCGCGAGTTTCAAAATGTCTATCGAGACAAAGCAGGTCTGATTGCCTCAATTTTGGTTCCACTGATCCTGAACGTGGCTGGTCTTCCACAAGCCAAAGCATTTTGTCCTTCAGAGATCCCTAATTAGCCGGGGCAAGATGTAGTTTACACCAGCGCTCATTGGTTTGAGAGTTTTCCGTTAAAAATTATGTCTAAGACACACAACATGGGGAGAGTCTTGCCGTTTCACACTCCTTGCAGCTGTTGGGCAATGCTTTGAGGTCTTCTTTGCGCTCATTTTCTTCCAGGTGGGCAACATCGATCGCTCAGAGTGGACCGCACAGGCGCACTTTGGTGGCATGACTCAGGCGCATGTATGGGTAGTGTTAGAGCGACCGTGTTGGCGTGCATGTGCAGGCTTTAATGATCCGCAAGCGTGCTTCACCCAATAAAGCTTTCGCAATGTTCAGCTTTATTCAAATTTGTAACTGTATCTTGGCTGTCGTTTTGCAGCAGTAGTAGCAAGAACATTCTCCCACGCAGCTTACCTACTTATGCTTCATCTCATCATGCAAAAGCAGTCTGAGATAGTCCGAGTGTATGGTAATAATTGAAAGCACTGTCAAGCAAGCCCTGAGGTGGCGATTGGTGGTATGTTCGGAGCTGCCCAGCCACTTCTCTTGAAATTCCCCTTGGATCGGGGAATCTTTCTGCGAGAGTATGCCACTCAGACCTATGGTGCAGCTCCCTACTTCATCTCCAAATCCATGGTCGAACTTTCACTCAGCTTTTGTCGAACTTTTCCAATTTCCGCCTTGCAGAAATGCATTGGCATAGCTTTGCTTAGTGCAAACCAGAGGTGGCTCAACAGCTGTGAGCTGTAGAAGTAGTTCAAGGCAAAAGCATCTAAGGAGTTGCCACAGAGCTTCTTGAATGCTTGCATCACTTGGGGTGCCGCCTACTTCATTATGGGGTTGCAAGGAAGCTTCATCATGTACCTTATCTCCAATCCTTGACTTGACTGATCGGCCGCTTTCATTTTGAGACAGGTTGCGGGGTGGGTCTGGCGCATTTCTACGCGAGCAACCACGTTCATTCATTCTTTACTAAAGTAGCCAGCGTGCTCTATTTGTTTGTCCAACATCAGTATTCGCTGGTGAATGAAATAACGGCCCCACATAAACGAGATACTTTTGATGACACTAAAGTAGTCTGAACGAGATAACGAGATACTGTGATTTGCTACTCGTACTAAAGTAGTCTGAAAGAAATACTGTGAAATGACCTTAAGTAGTCTAAACGAGATAGGGCCCCCACATAATAGATAGTGTATTTGAGTTTAGTAGTGAACAAATGCTGCCGCTCATAATATAGGTGCTTCTATTATCACAGGGGTGCTCTCAGCAACCACAAAAAAAGTAGGTTTTCCCAAACATCTAGAAACCAAAGCACAGTGCAAACGCTTCCTTGATTCCTTGAAGAAGCGTGAGCTATCCTGCGTCCAGTAGGTAGTAGCTTCCTTTACCTAATAGTTGCTACTAACCAGCTACTACCTCCTACCCCTCCGAACTAAAAGACAGGAATACTCGCGCCCTAAAACATGTTCTTTTTTGCCGTTGCTTGCCAGGTATGTCTTGATCTTTTGGATCACCGGAGTTGCAGCCGCGAGCACTGCCTTGCTGGTGGGCTGCCTGGCTGCCAACCCAGAGGTTGCCCAACAGGCTGCCCCTGCAGCCACTTGGCAGCAAATCATTGTGAGTTGGTGATGCCAAGCTCAATCCGATTTGAGCATTGAGATGTATTGATTTGTACAGCGTCCAAGAGGGCGACCATTTCCAGGTCTTTGTTCCCCAGCTTCTCTTTGCCGGATTCTTCATCCAATCGGAGCAGATCCCGGTGTGGTTGCGATGGGCACAATACCTTTGCGCTTTGAAGTACGGAGCCTCACACAAATCAGACAGACTAACAGACAGTCAGGTGGGCGAGACAACCAAGGTTTTACCAAGGAGAAGAATGGAATGGTGACCAAGAGTGTAAGCTGCTACGAAATGAGCGACTGAGGAATGAACCTGAACATCATGAATGAGTTTGGTACTGACGTCATTCAAGATTGGCCCGTGCAGAAGCAAGCGATGGTTTCCGGGCTAATTGAGAATAACAACATCAACCCAGATCATGGCTGGCTCTACGCAGGACTGGTTGCATAGGATCTGGAGTCGCCAACTTTGCCCAACCACTTTTCAGTTCATTCATGCCACCGCCACCTGCAAGCATTCTAGCTAGTTGCTTTCCCCAGGAGTTCTTATTGGAATCATTGTGGTCGTGCGGCTTCTGTCTGTTGTAGCCTTGGCCAAGCGCGCAGCTGCCTTCTTCTGAGAAGAGTTAAAGCCTTTTGCTCTGCTTGAGCATGATTTTCGGTGGGCTGTGGGGTAAAGGTACCTCTCATCTTGGTCTGTGAACCGCAAAAAAAGCATTTGCGTGGCAGGCCATTGTCATGCCCTGTCTTTTTGCACCGAGTATGTTGAAAACAACTCGCATATATACGTGCTTCGTGTTGGCCGACATATCTCTTGTCAGAGTCAAGTGTGTTGGCCAGCGTCGGGTCCACATGTCTCTGGTCAAAGTTATGCGTGTTGGCCAGCAAAAAGAACGTGCTATGCCAGTATGCGGCGGGATGCTAGCTGCTAGACAGTGTTTGCAGGCTGATTAATACCGTACCCTTGACTGGATGCAATTTTTTTGAGCTGTTGGTCGAGGACTTGTTTCTTTTTCGGTCACAGACACTAGGACGAACCAGTTTCCATGTTCGTCGATCTTTCTTTTCGGGAGATGAGAGTCCAAAAGGAAAGGGGAAAGGCACATTTTGCTCGTCCCTTGCACCTCCCTCTCAGGGAAAAAGATTTGTTTTTTGCAATTCGGACAGCCTAAGCATTCAGGAGATCTCCGTCACTGTTGCTGTTCCAGCGGCACCCTGCCTCTCACTCAGCTCAGATTGGGTCAGAACTGTCAACTTGATGTGCTCATCAAACGCGCTTATATGGATTGTGTGGATTTGGCTGTTTCAGAGTGGGGGATTCAAGCATCTGAGAAGTCAAGGCAATCAAGTGAGTCAAGCAATCATCCCATTGATTTCCCTTCTTGCGACTACTCCCTTTTCTCTTTTTCATTTTGCTCCAAACACATGGGTTGACCAGGCTTTGGGAGATCTCCGCCGTGGGAGTCGCCATGTCCAATCCAGGCACCAGTGACACCAGTGACCAGTGAGTTTGAGACTGTTTTGGTTTTGAAGAGTGCAGCTTTCCGACATAAGAGACGGGGTACTGTAGATTTATGCAGAACTGATCTGGCACAACTTTTTCACCCAGCTTGGGTGATCTTTGTTGGCGAAAGCTTCTGAGTTTGGCCTGATATCTCTTTATATTTTCGTTGGATGGCAGGACACAGACACATGCATCAGTATATCAGCAGACGGCAATGGAGAACTTTCAAAACGGCCACTCATGCGAAGTTGCTTCTCCTTCCAAGTCTTGGAACTGAAATGATGCAGGTCACATCAGCAGGTGCTGGGATGTGGGTTGGGACCGAGCTCTATATGGGAAACAAACAAAACATTGCCGCAAGGCTCTGCCCTTTGGACTGAACAATTTTGCGCTGGCGAAATCTACCCTAGTAGCGATGGCCTCCACCCTGGCTTCTTCTTGTTTTTGCCCATTCAATTGAATCGACTTTAGAGGTGTAAACTGGACAGTCTGCAGAAAGCTTACTACCACTGGCAGTGGAGGTCAGCCGTCGGGCAAAGCGGAGAATACAGAAACGTGTGGAGGCGGAGGACAGGGTCACAAAATGGGGCTGAGGTAGCGGTCGGCTGTCACAGTTGTTGATGATTGGGCTTCGGCCTATCCTGGCGCACTGAGCACCAGCCGATGCGCATGTTCGTTCAAAGAGGTCTTGCAGAACTGCCTGGCCTGAATTTCTGAATGCATGGGACCAGCAGTTGTAATTACCTTCGAAGCTCTCGCACTGAGAAACCTGTGGTGGTGAGGCTGAAGAACCTTTGCATTTTGATTTTCCCAGACGCCTCACCAAGCAGGACAGCTGGGCGTGCTCGACATGGGTTCCAGACAGAAACACATCGGTAGGCTGTACAGTCACTACTTTAACCGCCGCAGGCATGTGCCAGCCTCCACGGCTGAATGCTGCCGCATGTGTGGGGAGTAAGCAGACGAGCAACTAGACTGAAGGCGGGGGAAGACGCAAAGCAAAGAAACGGCAAGGGCTGGCCCTGGAGGAAGTCATAAATTGACTCCTGCTGGTTGAGCAGGTGTAGGTGGGTGAAGGGAAAGCAGATGAGCAACATGCCGCCATCAAAAAGCATAAGCAAGGGAGCTTGGCTCAAGGCGTGGGAGGCGCAACGCAGAGACACGGCAAGCAGGAAGGGGTGCGTGGAAATGCAAAGGCGGGAAAAAGTCGCGTGGAGGAAGAAGGTAACGTAAATCATGAGTGGGCTTAGAGTGGTGCTCATAAAGGGTAGGGGTCACTCTAAAGCCATGCTAAGCTGCTAAGATGCCTAAAAGTTGAGATAGGTATTGAGGAAAGGGGTCTGTCAAGGGTTGCCTGATAGACAGGAGGAAACAAGAGCATTCACAACTGTAAGTAAAAACCGTGGCTTGTGTAAAGTGGGGTTTGTTGCAAACTAAGGTTGGTGCAAGCCGTGATTTGGTGTAAACGGTGGGCGGTGCAAACCGTGGTTTGGTGTAAACGGTGGTTGGTGGAAGGCATGGTTTGGTGTAAACGGTGGTTGGTGTGAATCATGGATTGGTGTACACAGTGGGTTGGTGTAAAACGTAGCTTGGTGTAAACGGTGGTTGGTGTAAAACGTAGCTTGGTGTAAACGGTGGTTGGTGTAAATGGTGGTTGGTGTAACCGTGGTTTGGTGTAAATGGTGGTTGGTGCAAACCGCAGTTTGGTGTAAACCGTGGTTGGCGCTGCTATTGAAACCATGGAAGAACGCCGTGAAGCGCGGGCAAAACACCGGCGACGCGGCAGAACGACGACGACGACGACGACGAAGACGACGATGACGACAACGTGGAGGGGTGAGGGGGGGTCAAGTTAGTCGAGGCAAACATCCGCGCAGAGGAGTAATCTAAACGATGGACAACTTTAGTATTGGACAATAGCACATAAAAGTACAAGTACAAGAACATCCACAAGACACGCCGGCAGGCCGGCGGATTAGTCATACTGTACGCACATTTTGGCCCGAAGATCTTCGGTTCAATTTGTGCAGAACACGACTCTTTCACAATGCTGTTCTGCCAGCGCCATTTCGCAGGAGCGTGACGAGGTCCGACAAGAACTGTCGACTGCTTTGGCGGTATTGAAGAGTGAGGCACGGTGTTGTAGCATTGTATTTTTGTAGGAATATCACGGAATATGAAACTAGGCCACTTATTCAGAATGCGTTTCGCGCTGTCCTGTGCAGCTTCCCAATCTATTTGTCATTTGTCACTCGAACAGTCACTGCAGAGCTCCCTATGTAGTTTCATCAAACCTGAAGGAACACATGTGCATTCCTGCTTGCTTGGCTTCCCTTGACACTGACTTCAAACTGCTTAGTTCAGGCAACCGTGTCACTCCCCCAAAAAGCTCAGGAGCAGTCACCTGCTTTTGTTGTGGTCCGTTTAGGTAGGATTTCTACTACACGGTGCCATTGCTTGTGCTATATTTGCATAGAAAGGTTGAGATTCTGAGGGCTGTACTTTGACACAGCTCAACATGTTTCGACAGCTTTGAAAGCGTTTGTAGGACCTAGACCCGGCAGAGTTACGGCTGCGATCCAAGGCCAGCAGGGAAGCAACACGTAGGCTGTAGGCACTACGTTGGTGGCTTTGCACAAGACAAGGGGCCATTCTGACACACTATCTATTCCTACGCATGGATATTTGCAAGTTTTGGTCACACAACTTGGCTTTCCACGGACACTGGTCAGTTCACGGTCTTCAGGTGGAGTTGCTTTGTGCTCAAGTACCGGCAGATGCAGGACCTGTTGAGCTGGCACAGGCAATGGGTGCTCACTAGGAAAGGGCGATTTCACAATCTCGAACAGATGTTTGGAGCTTTGGCCGCTCCCTGTCTCTCCTTAATCTCTCCTTATGTCTCATTGATTTTCAGAGGTGCTGCGACTTTTGGTGCAGAGCTATGACGCTGCTGAGCGCGACCTGAAGGCAGGTCTTTCAAGAGGTGTCGAAGCATGTATTCTTTTTTCCAGTTCAACTGCTCTGATTTATATCCATTGGAGACCTGTGCCGTTTGTATCTCTTGTCCCAACTCAGTTTACCAGTCCAGTGAAGCGTCTCCACCTGATCACATGTCTCATCCTTTCTCCAATTCGTCCGATTCCATCTGACAGGTCAAGAAAATTACGTTTCCCTAAAAAGCTAGAAACCAAATGCACAGTGTGCGAGCTATCGTGCTTCCTAGTTAGTGGCTAGTAGCTTACTTAATGAAGTAGCCGCCTACTTAATTAAGCAGGGCGATCCAAGTTTTGAGCTCGGCTCTTCTCAAGGAAAGAGGGGCTGCCCTTGGTGAAGAGTTCCGTGAGCTCGCTCGGAAGGAGTCTCCTTTGTATGCGATTTGCAGATGAAAGACTAAACAAAGGCGAGCCCATTTGCCGTTGGCAACATATCTTCAGAAAGCAACTGATTTCCTGCTTAGACCAATGTCCTTTACGCCAGGATGGTCTGGGCCTCTCAGCTGTCCTGAGACGTGCGGCGCTGCTACGTCAACGCCTTGCGCCTGAGGCAGGGGTCATGGAGTCCTTTTGATGCTCATGGGATGTTTGATGCAGTATTGCAAGTTCATGCACATTCGACAAGCTGAAGCACATTTGCAGTTCAAGGATCTCACGTTTTTTCAGTCGAGTGAGATTATCCAAAGAAATTCTTGACATGTATGCAAAGGTATTGAAAAACTAAGGCAGTGGCCTTTGCTGCACGTTTGGCCTTAGCGCTGCCAAGTGAATCAGTTCAATTATCATCTGCACTGCTCGAGGCTGGGGGTTGGTCGGGAGTCTTTTTGTTTGATCACAAAGAGCTGATCCTGCCAATATCCATACATATCCTATAATACAGATGATGCTTGATGTAAGGTATATAGTATTTGTGTCTCTGGAGTCGTTGCATTCCTTTGACAGTCCAAAAAGACAGGCACTGGTACCTCATGTTGTGCGGGAGCCCAGCTGGGCTTCAACTTGGCGGTAAAATCCGTTGAAATCTTTTGCGGTATGTCCATGGTCCATAATAGCAATGGACTCCAACCTAATAGCAATGGTCTCCAACCTAATAGTGATGGCCTCCAACCCAGTAGCAATGGAC